CGAAAGAAGATATGAATGTTTAACTGGCTAAATTAATCAATAATATATGGTCCAAACTGCTCCCATAGCACATGAATTATTCGATGTAAAACAAAACGAACAAACTTCAATTCACATGTATTTTATTCCTCAAATCTGAATAATTATCGACTGGAAAAGAAGGAACATGGTGTATAAATAATTAACCCACAACACAAAATCCCTACATGCAATTGGCAATACCAAAGGCAAGGAACAGTGCTTTTATTTTCCTTGCTTTTCGAATTACAAGTATCAATTCAATTATACTCTGAATTATTCTAAGTCGTATGTAAACCACAACTTTTAAACATAAATCAGTCTTAGATAAAATTAAGCCTTATAAAAAACAAAATGTTAACATTTTTGCAATTAATTTTTGTTTGCTTCCATTATCGATCATTCTAAAGCTTATGTATAAATGTATATGTTAATTGAATATTGTGCAGTGTTTTAAGTGATCAACAGGGAATACCACTTGGTGAAAGTCACAAATGATGGCCAAAATATATCATGAAACAATAACCGTACTTCATTTTACTTCTCGGGTCGGTGTGCCATGAAATAATGTATTAGAAGTAATTCGGGATAAGAAATGTCTAAATTGATAAGTTTTACATTGCATTTAAAAAAATCCTTTTCAAGAGTATTATATGATTAATAATCATCGCTCGCTGTTGGAAGTTCAGTTTCGCCACTTTTCGTTCTGGTCATGAGAAGATATTTAAGGGGTTTCTATTGTTTACCTCAGAAAATCAAATAACGGACATATTCCATCTCAACCTGAGAACGAGTAGCTCATTTTCTTCTAGCAATGTTTATCTTTTGTTAGATGTTGTACTTTCAATGGTATTTATAAACGCAGAGTAAAATTTTAAATGTTTGGTATAAATTTGTTAAAATAATTTATCTTCAAAACAAAATTTCAGAACATAATGGGAAATATCAGAGAATAATGATATAATTTTAAAAAAAAGAAAAAAAAGAAGAAAACCCAACACATCTTTGATTAAAATTGAAAATCCAACAGTTTTAAAGTCAAATTGACCTCTAAAATTATATACACACTGAACAAGTACATTACCGAAACATCTCAACATGTTCAAATAGAGCCCATTTTTAATCGCGTACTGGACATAATTTTTATATTTCTATTCTACATTTTATCAACCGTTAGTGAACTATTATTTAAGGTTATGAATCCGTGGCTTCATTGCATGTTCAATGCCAAATAAATTGAATTGTTTAAAAAATACAGTTACTTGTGTGTGAAATACCGGTAATTTTAATGAAAGCTTTTTGAAAGTCGTTGATAGGACGCCAATTCACGAGGGCGTGGCAAATTGTCCCTAGTGTCCAATCAGCTTTTTCTGTTGTACAAAGTTTGACGTGCGATTATGCTTGAACAGTGTAAATAACATTGTCATAGTTTTATGACATTGTCTTATATAGAACATCAAAAGACTATTTACTATACTATTGTGACTGTGTCAACCTGTGTCATCCTGATTCAAAACTAAATTGATTTAGAAAAGATACTTTGCAACCGCTGATAAAATGTTGAGTGTAAACAATCAAAATAGAATCATGGAGCATGTGGAAAAATAAGTGAGATGATAGAGCGATGTACATGTATACATGTATTTGCTTTTTGTTTTTGTATTTTCCATGCGTTTACATTTGTTAACCAAACTTACTCATTACATTTATTCTATTATAATTTCTATCAAATATAAAAAAGAAGATGTGGTATGATTGCAAATGAGACAACTCTTCACAAGAGACCAAATGACACAGAAATTAACAACTATAGGTCACCGTACGACTTTCAACAATGAGCAAAGACCATACCGCATAGTCAGCTATAAAAGGCCCCGAAATGACAAATGTAAAACAATTCAAACGAGAAAACTAACGGCCTAATTTATGTACAAAAAAATGAACGAAAAACAAATACATGTATGTAACACATCAACAAACGACAACCACTGAATTACAGGCTCCTGACTTGGGACAGGCACATACATACAGAATGTGGCGGGGTTACACATGTTAGCGGGATCCCATCCCTCCCCCTAACCTGGGACAGTGGTGTTACGGTACAACATAAGAACGAACTATAAAAATCAGTTGAAAAAGGCTTAACTTATCAGATGGATACAAATAGAAATACATCTAACAAAAACACAGAGTGGACGTGGCAGGGTACTTGTACATCCCAACATCAAAAAGACACTAAGTACAGATCCGAGAGTACTCGCAGTTACTGACAGCTAGTTCAAAGACAATAACAACTAATAAAAAAAATCATGCATCTAAGACTAAATTATCAATCATTGCACATCCAACATCCAATAGATTTAGTGTAAAGACGTCATAAACAGTCAGAGAAAAACATGACTTTGTACAATGCCAAGATACAGGTACCGACAGATTGTAGATCCATGAATGTGCATATGAATATAACAATAATATTTAGTTTGCTTTTAATTTACTGATAACAAAATCAATATTAATACCAATAAAAACAATATTCAAAGATCTAATTTTGTTTACCTTTTTTCATCACAGTTTACCTTTTTCAATCACAGTTTACTTCACACTTGCTCTGTGCCTTTGCTGAATATCTAACGAAAGGTGTCGTGGTTACGGTCCCTGCATACAGAAAAGCTGTCGGCGAATTAGATTACGGGAATACAAGCATTAGATAGAAGTAAATATCTGAAGATTTGGATAAATGTACACGTGTTTTATAGTAAAACCATTCAAGTTTATAAAACATAATACATTTTTTGGGGAGGTTAAATATGAAGTATCATATGACTGCTATTGTTTTATACTACATTTATAATTGTTTTTAAGATGATATTTGATCAAATAAATCTGTCTATCTGTATGACTTTCGGACAGAGGCGACACGTATCCGTACAGGATTGAGAAAGTACTGAAAATGAATTAAAAAAATTCTCATTGAATAGTTATCGACTATTAGTGTCTACTTACAAATCAGTGGGTATATGAGGGTCTAGATTGTAGTCTTTCTATTCTGTAACTTTCAGACCATTTTTCTCTTTATATTTTTAGCTCATAATTATGAATGATGAACACTAGCCTGTCAGCACTAAGATTGCGTGTTTCAATTTCGCTCGTGGCAAGTAGTGCTGTCAAGTCTCTTGCGTGAGACTCACGCATTTTCATGTTTATTTGGCGGCATTTTCCTTTGATCTATTGTTTTTTTCTATTTGATCTTTACAATTTTTGCAAAATCTCACGTATTTGCTTCATGAAAACTTGACAACCCTATCTAAGGGTCTTTCCCTTCAATTTTGATCTTAATTGACCCATCGAAACAACATCTGATACACAAATTTAATAATACTTTTAGATATTTGGATGATATTTTGGCTCTCAATAATGACGACTTCAGTATGTATACTAAAGAAATTTATCCTGTTGAACTTACTTTAAATAAAGCTAATACTAACAATGACCACTGCCCTTTCCTCGATCTTGATATCTATATCATTAACGGAAAGCTTATTACTAAAATATATGATAAAAGAGATGATTTTTCATATCCTATCGTTAATTATCCATTTTTAGATGGTGACGTTCCCTTGTCACCATCTTATGGTGTTTATATATCTCAACTTGTACGATTCGCTCGTGTATGTAACAATGTTTTAGATTTTAACGAGAGAAATTTATGTATTACTGAAAAATTATTACACCAGGGTTTTCGATATCACAAACTAGTCAAAACATTTACTAAATTTTATCATCGGTATAAGGACATCATTCGTAAATATAGCTCAACATGCAGACTTCTTATACGTTCAGGTATTTCACATCCAATTTTTTATGGAAATATTCTTTATAAAGCACAAAAATGTCAGTATTCACCTCTGAAACTAACAAAACCTTTAAATAGACTTATTAAGAAGGGATATAGTTACGATACTGTTGTCAGGTCATTAAAGATTGCATATTTTGGCGTTAATATTGATTCACTTATAGGGTCTTTGCATCGGCACTAAACACATTTATTTAAAAACCATTTGTTGGCATGACACGGGTTATGTTCTTCTCATATATGTTATGATGGTATGATACTAAACCCCTAACGGGAAGGATTGTGCCTGATATTCATATGATGAAGACATAATCTTTCAATCAGTTTAATTGAAGTCTGGAGCTGGCATGTCAGTTAACTGCTAGTAGTCTATTGTTATTTATGTATTATTGTCATTTTGTTTATTTTCTTTGGTTACATCTTCTGACATCAGACTCGGACTTCTCTTGAACTGAATTTTAATGTGCGTATTGTTATGCGTTTACTTTTCTACATTGGCTAGAGGTATAGGGGGAGGGTTGAGATCTCATAAACATGTTTAACCCCGCCGCATTTTTGCGCCTGTCCCAAGTCAGGAGCCTCTAGCCTTTGTTAGTCTTGTATTATTTTTAATTTTAGTTTCTTGTGTACAATTTGGAGTTTAGTATGGCGTTCATTATCACTGAACTAGTATATATATTCGTTTAGGGGCCAGCTGAAGGACGCCCCCGGGTGCGGGAATTTCTCGCTGCATTGAAGACCTGTTGGTGACCTTCTGCTGTTGTCTGTTCTATGATTGGGTTGTTGTCTCTTTGACACATTCCCCATTTCCATTCTCAATTTTAATTTTATTGGATTGCTTCCAGCGGTAGACAGTAAACACTCCGGGTCCCCGGCTTCTTCCTCCAATAAAAACTGGCCGCCACGAATAGCCAAGAGTGCTGAAATTGTCTTTAAACACCGATAATCAATCGTTCATCTCTATTCTTTGTTTTTTGGCCTATTATTCTCTATCCTGTAAACCCAATCTTGACCCTATTAAATATATGATTGAATTTTATTATTTTGCTCGGGGTCAGTATTTAGGATAAATATCTACGTGTTAGTGCATTCATATTTAGTTGATACCTTATCTCCGAATAAACACAACCTAATACATCAATATCTAGCACGCTATTATTGCTTCTTTTGTACAACCTAGGTAATCAGGATGGCGACTGAAGAGTCAATTGTTGTCACCAAAGAAGAAGTTCATAGTTTTGTCATCCGTTCTATGGAAGCTGTTGGCCTTAAACTGAAACATGGAACAGTTCTTGCTGATCTTATTGTATCCGCTGAATGTAGAGGACACGCCAGCCACGGATTAAACAAACTAGGTAAGGTATGTGGTTATCGCATATATGTACAACTCATTGTCTCACAATGTACCATTTGTAAGGAATATCACATTATAAAAGAATATATTATGACGACATTATAAATATGCCATAACTTCAGTGGACAACACTATTGATGGTGTATTTTATATTTGAAATATAAAAGAATATATGGGCATTTGAGTAGTTCCACATGAAACAGTACATATCACATAGTCAAATCAGACAAAATATATTTGGAAGAGGGTCAATTTCCCCTGGATTTATTTCACATAAAGGCCATTTTCTTTAAATCTTAACTCAAATTCAAGGTATCACACACATGACATATGTGTACTTTAATGTTCTAACAATAGTATGGCTTATTCAATCTAAACAGGGCATCAAATTATAAACGTATAGAGCTATCATAAAACCGCTATTTAGGAAAATTTGAAGTATTTATCACTAAAATTTATAAAAAAAGGGCATCGTATACGTAAACTGAAAAATAAATTATGTTGGAACTTCGAGGTAGACTACTATGTATTATATAATGTAGATAGAATGGATAAAAATGAATCTTTTTTTGGCATTTTTAGTTAGATCCTAATGTTTGGTGAAAATGAACATAACATGTTTATAAATTTGGTGAAGCGCTGTTCATGGATTTACCTTCGGCTGGAAAGCTCAAAACCAAAATTTGAAAGCTGTTAAACTAATAACAAAAACAGTCTAACAATATTTTGGCAAGGCTCAGGAAATAACACTCTCGCCATCATAGTTTGAAGAATTCCTTGATGGGGACCATTTTCCCGTGCATCGACCTGAATAAAGATTAACTTTTCATAACAAGTTTTAAAAGGTTGGTGTTTGGCCAAAAACCGTACACTGTGAATCATTTCTTTGAAATTTAAATTGTCGTTTTTCCCACAATAAAAATATATTTTTTGAATTTCATATCAAATTTGGGCTTATCACTTCCGTCTTAATCAAGCAATTAATAAAAAGGGTTAACATTAAAGGCAAAAAACTGCACAACACAAAAACCCACCTCAATCACCAACACTCGACTCATAATTATATCCATGTAAAGGAAGGCATTTAGTTGAAATAATTATTTGTTTTTGTATGGTGATTAACATTATAACACAATGTTGAATGCTGTACCCCAATTTTTGACATTTTTACCTATTATGTCTGTTCGATTTGCTCACACAAATGTTGTCAATATAATGGAATTCTATGCGACTGTCAAACAAGTTAGAGGTTTAGCTAGCTATAAAACCAGGTTTAATCGACCATTTTCTACATCAGGAAATGCCTGTACCAAGTCAGGAATATGACAGTTGTTTTCCATTCGTTTGAGCTTTTGATTTTGCCATTTGATAAAGGACTTTCCGTTTCAAATTTTCCTTGGAATTCGGTATTTTTATTATTTTACCTGTTATATTCTATTTACTATTTTCACAGAACAATACATGAATGAAATAAAATCCGGAATGACATCAACAGAAGATCTAGAACCTAGTGTACTGAAAGAAACATCGGCTACTGCTTTGGTAGACGGTAATAATTTAATAGGTACGTATGCTTGTACAGTAAACTATTCATATGCTTCATATAATACCTACGGATATTGAACATTTTTGCATTGTAGAAAAGCTTCGTATGCACAGTTTGTTTTACTTTGCACAAACTGTGTTTTTCATAATCGAATTATATGAGAAGTTGTCGCTCAAGTAGTGCATTTTACTAGATTCTGACGAATACATTTCCAATGAGAAATGAACATGTATGTTGGGCACACCGTTTGGCGATAAGCACTGAATGTAATCTAATTGGTATGCCTCGGTATATTCAGAATATAAACTAATAATTGATACTTAACTAGTTTGTGTTACTTTGAAGTACCAACACATCATCTTTCGGTGACCGTGGGTATAAGAACATTACATGGACCGAATTAAAAATATTTCAGTGCAACTATTCTATAATCAGATGACTGTGCTTTTATTTCAACACATATAAAAAAAAATATCATTTTTGATGGAGCTTTCAATTGAGAATAGGAATTTATAGTTTATATAATCCACGATAAAAATATGCTAACTTGGTAAAAATGGAACCACACATACGCATGTAAAATAAACAATTTGATTTATTTTATTTGAAACTGATTTTAGCATAAATCTTTCAGGGCCTTATGTAGCTAGATTCTGTATGGACTTGGCAATACAAAAAGCAAAATCAGCCGGTATAGGTATTGTCTCATGTCGAGGTAGGATCATAGTACTCTAAAAATCAGTCGGTGTAGGTATCATCTCATGTTGAGGTAAGATCACGGTACTCTGACAAAATCAGCCGGTATAGGTATTGTCTCATGTCGAGGTAAGATCATAGTACTCTAAAAATCAGCCGGTATAGGTATTGTCTCATGTCGAGGTAAGATCACAGTACTCTGACAACATTAGCCGGTATAGATATTGTCTCATGTCGAGCTAAGATCACGGTACTCTAACAAAATCAGTCAGTATATGTATTATCTCATGTCGAGGTAAGATCATAGTCCTCTAACAAAATTAGCCGGTATAGGTATCGTCTCATATCGGGGCGGGGTAATAGTTCAAATAGACAAAATCAGCTGACAAATGTATCATCTTAGGTCGAGGTAAGATTAGATTAACTCAGCTGACATATGTATCGTCTCATGTCGAGGTAAGATAATAGTTCTCAGACAAAATCAGTTGACAAAGATTTCTGTTATAACCAGCGAACAAAATCAATTGGTTTATGAATTTTGGTTTATTTGTTATATATAGTTCATATGACCTGCTCAATTCATTCTATCTATCTTCTAACTTTTAATTATAAGATAAGATATTTTATTTCCAATTATGGGCCCCAAAGGGCATAAACATTACAACATCAATAATTTTTCATAATACAATACAAACAATGAGATAAAAAAGTATGTTTTTTTTAATACTAATGCATTTTATTGCAAGTGTGGTTGATATAGATAACAAACAAGCAGCCCAAAAAGAAAAAAAGAAAAATAGATATCCACATATGTATAGTACACAATATTATAAGAAAGAAAGGAACATATATTAAACGTATATGTGATACTAATAAGCTTGATCACATATATGATTATAAACGGTCTGTTCTTTTTTGCAGGTTCTAACCATTTTGGCACAGCTGGGTGGTACAGTTTACGCGCAATAGAACAAGGATTGATAGTAAGTTATTACTAGTATTAAAAGCATGTTAAATGTTCATGCAAAGGTTTCGATTTGACTTTACATGTTTGGGATAGGTACTCCATGTATCTAAGTAATAAACATATCATGTGTTAAAATTTCATGTGCTAGCCGTATGAAAAGAAAAAATATTTTAAATAAGTTTTCGAAAAGGTTAGTGATCAATCAGTAGATACAGAACACCATTCTGCAGTCACCTTTAAACATGGGCTCCTTGTAAAATTATCATAACGGAGAAGTCGTAGATGGCTTATTATAACAATTCTTTCTAAATAAACGTCGAGGGTGATCGGTTGCAATCATTTATAAGGATAAGCAAAACTTTTGTTCAATGCTTTATAGATGATTTAAAAATAACTGTTCATTAAAAGTTTTTAGATTTGTTTTATACTTAAACGCTAACTTTTTTTTTATTTAGGGAATGACATATACTAACACCTCTCCGATGCTGGTCCCAACACGAGCTAAGTCAGTAAGTAACGTTTTATTTCACCACACATTGCTGGTTCCAACACGATCTAAGTCAGTAAGTAACGTTGTATTTCACCACACTTGCTGGTCCCAAACACGAGGTAAGTCAGTAAGTAACATTGTATTTCACCACACTTGATGGTCCCAACACGATCTAAGTCAGCAAGTAACATTGTATTTCACCACACTTGCTGGTCCCAACACGAGCTAAGTCAGTAAGTAATATTGTATTTCACCACACTTGCTGGTCCCAACACGAGCTAAGTCAGTAAGTAACATTGTATTTCACCACAATTTGCTGGTCCCAACACGAGCTAAGTCAGTAAGTAATATTGTGTTTCACCACAATTTGCTGGTCCCAATATCGGTTCAGTTAGTATTCATATTGCAGGTAACGTTATTGTATATTATATAGAGTTCACAGGACCCACTTAACCCAAACTGTATGACATATAAGCAGTCAATGAAAAAAAAAGTTGGATGCTATTCAATCGTGCGGCTAGTTTTTACATGCTTTTACCACTTTGGGTGGTACAGTTTATACTAATGCAATAGAAAATGCATGTCTTAATGCAATTAATATATGTCACATGGACTAAAAAACATTTGAAAATATTTACACTCAACTTTTTCTCCGCGGTTATAAAGCTTCTTGTAGAAATCAACATTAATTTGAATCAGTAGTCCACAACTCCGACAATATAGCAACAGTGTCCTAACACTATGACAATGTCATTTCACAAATTTCATTGTTTCAAGCATCACTGTACGTCAATCTATGTGCGATAGAACAGTTGATTGGATACTAGCAGAAGTCCATTGCTAGGACTTTTGATACTAGTGACAGTTTGAAATAATGAATTATCATGCAGTGTCATGTCGACGTACTCTAAATATGCTTATTGTAATATACTGTAATATAGGTCTTTCTTCGAAAAACAAAATTTGAAATGATTTCGTAAAAATATTATAAAGAATCAGTGCACTGTGTTTGTAAATGAAGCCGTGAGATATTGGACTACGTATTTTCACGTCAGACAAACTTCTTCGCGCCTGTTCTTCATTTTCGATTTAGTATATTCAAAGGGAGTGGAATGCCCATCGATAAAAAAAATGGGACAGTAAAAAATGATAAAATTAGTCCATTACATAATGCGAACTCGGATGCAATATCTTTCTTTACATAGGATCAAGATATGTAGGACATATGTAAATCAAAAAAAATGAATGTTTCAATCTTAAATTCTCTATTGTTGAAAATAAATCAACAATTAGAAAAATGTCCGCAAGTACGAAATGGCTTACGCTGAAAAAAAAGACACAGTCATAGTGTTTTTTTTCTTCAGTTTCTTGGAAATCTTTATTTTTTCTTTTCTTTCGACTTGAAAGTTAAAAAATTATGTTATGCCCGCAGTTATGAAATTGTTCAAATCTTGAAATTTTATTAATTTATAAATTTTGTTCTATGGACGACAGAAAGAAGTAAGAGCAAGCGAAACCTTAGTTTTTCTTTCTGAAGACAATTTTGATTTTAACGAACTACTTTATTTAGCAGTAAAACAACCTAATCAAAATATAGACCCCATGTCCATTCTTCTTGGAATCGAAAGAAAATATGAATGTTTAACTGGCTAAATTAATCAATTATATATGGCATAAACTGCTCCCATAGCACATGAATTATTCGATATAAAACAAAACGAACAAACTTCAATTTACATGTATTTTATTCATCAAATCTGAATAATTATCGACTGGGAAAGAAGGAACATGGTGTATAAACAATTAACCCACAACACAAAATCCATACATGCAATTGGCAATACCAACGGCAAAGGAAAAGTGCTTTTATTGCTGTTCTTCATCTGAAAGAAACACTTTGAGGCCTGCTTAATTTGTATTTCCAATTTTTTTTCATTATATACGCAAAACGATGAGCCTCATAAAGTCAATAGCTGAAATTATAAATGCAGTTTTGGTTCTTGAAAACTCTTTAGTTTTTGACATTCTGAAATTGAAAATTTACTTTGCTTTTCATATTACAAGTATTAATTCAATTATACTCTGATTAGAATTATTCTAAGTCTTAAGTAAACCACAACTTTTGAATACAAATCAGACATAGATAAAGTTAAGCCTTATAAAAAACAAAAGGTTAACATTTTGCAATAAATTTTTGTTTTCTTCCATTTTAGATAATTCTTAAGCTCATGTATAAATGTATATGTTAATTGAATATTGTGCAGTGTTTTAAGTGATCAACAGGGAATGCCACTTGTTGAAAGTCACAAATTATGGTCAAAATATATCATGAAACAATTACCATACTTCATTTTACTTCTCGGGTCGGTGTGCCATGAAATAATGTATTAGAAGTAATTTGGGATAAGAAAGGTCTAAATTTATAAGCTTTACATTGCATTTAGAAAAATCCATTGCAAGAGTAATATATGATTAAAAATCATCGCTTTTTACATCGGATGACCGTGAGGGCATTCCGGTGGAAAGTGACTTTTTTTCGTTTTTGACTGATAACCGAACGCAAAATAACATTCCTTATCGCTTGTTAGATATCAATTTCATCATTAAATATTCATGAAAATAATTTTTAAGAACATAGATGAATGATATGAAAATGTTTTGTCGTGAGAAATATATATATATATATATCAATAACAAATAAAGAATACCGAAAATTTGTGTTAACGCATGCGGAAGAATATCTCAAGAACGTTTTGCGGGAAAATATGAATGCCTACTCGACTCCAATCTATTAATCTATTAGAAAAATCGAATTATTACAGAAGGTTTCCACCATGCAGTTGCACTGCAGTATTATTAGAATAGTAGAATAGAATGATATACAAATGGATGAAAATTATATATACATGTAACTGTTATATACAAACATGTAACTGTTATATACAAATATTAATATAATATATAACAACAAACCAGAGTATACTGATTTGTATCACTACAATATAATAGTTGTTTGAGGCGGATTTAGGGGGGGGCAGGGGCCCGGTCCCCCCTTTTTTGGGAAAAACTTGGTTGATTCAGGGAATCAGTGAAGCATGACTGGAGCGGGCCCCCACTTATGAAAATTTCTGGATCCGCCACTGGTTGTTACGGTGAGGTTGAATTCCCTACCATATATTCATCATCCACGAACGAACTTGTCTCAGAAAAAAATATATCTATGTACCTTAACCTCACTTTCAGGTATAGAGATGTGATTTTTTTTTCTGAGACAAGTGCTTGTGACCATCCACAAGAACTTGCGGTCATCCGATGTTCAGTACTGCAGTACTTTGATCGTTCTTGTCATGAAAAGATATTTAAGGAGTTTCTATTGTTTACCTCAGAAAATCAAATAACGGACATACTCCTCTCAACCTGAGAATGAGTGGCTCATTTTCTTCTAGCAATGTTTATCTATTGTTAGATGTTGTACCTTTAATGGTATTTATAAACGCAGAGTAAAATTTTAAATGTTTGGTAAAAATTTGTTAAACCATTCATCTTCAAAACAAAATTTCAGAAGAGAATGGTAGAATAATGATATGAATTTAAAAAAGAAGAAGAAAACCCAACATATATTTGATTAAAATTGAAAATCCAACAGATTAAAAGTCAAATTGACTTCTAAAATTCTTTACACACTAAACAAGTACATTACTGAAACATCTCAACATGTTCGAATAGAGCCCGTTTTAAAACGCGTACTGGAAATAACTTTTATATTTCTATTCAGAATTTCTGTATTTTATGTATTAGTGAACCATATTTTAAGGTTATGAATCCTTGGCTTCATTGCATGTTCATTGTAAAATAAATTGAATTAATAATTTTGATTGTTTAAAAAATACAGTTACTTGTGTGTAAAATACCGCTGATTTTAATGAAAGCTTTTTGAAGGTCGTTGATAGGACGCCAATTCATGAGGGCGTGACAAATTGTCCCTAATGTCCAATCAGCTTCTCTGTCGTACAAAGTTTGACGTGCGGCGATGCTTGAACAGTGTAAATAACATTGTCATAGTTTTATGACATTGTCTTAGAACATCAAAAGACTATTTACTACTTACTATACTATTGTGACTGTGTAAACCTGTGTCATCCTGATTCAAAACTAAATTGATTTAGAAAAAGTGCTTTGCAACCGCTGAGAAAAAGTTGAGTGTATTAAAAACAGAAGAGGGTCACGTGAATATCCTTCTCTGTTTTGTTCGTAAGAATAACTTGTTGCTGGCCAGTGAAAAATGACAATTTTTTAATTTTTTTTATATTTCAGAAAGTATTAGGTACAAATCCCTTAAGCCTTGGTGCACCAGCAAAAAATGGTGACAGTTTTGTCCTAGATATGGCTACTTCAGCAGTAGCAATGGGAAAGGTAAAGAATATACAATAATTGCTCATGGATATTTCAACAGTTTAACTTCATCTGTAAAAGCATATAAATTACTCTTGAACTGCCACGATCGTGTAAAGCAAATAGGTTGCCATATAGATTTTTTTCTCAGATTATTTGATTTTAATTTTTACTGATTTATTAATTGATAAAGCTATATAATTCACGAAAAACTGACGAGTTTAAAAGTATGGTACCTCCTTTCCTCTTTATATTTGGAAATCATTCTAGCTAAAATCCATAATTTTTCTGTAAACATGATACAAATGCATATTTTCTAAAATGTATATAATCAGATAGACTAATTTTTGTCTACTTTGTTTAAAACTGGAAACAAACAAACACACAGAGTAAAAATATAAGTATAGTATATTTATATCAAATAACTATTGTTTATTTCAATTATAGTGTGAACTAAAAGGTAGACGAGGTCAACCACTTCCTACAGGCTGGGCAGTTGATGTAAATGGACATGTAAGTTGCTGCTCTGTTTATGTAAACGGACAGATAAGTTGTTTGTTTGTTGATTTAAACGAATATGTTAGTTATTGCTTTGTTGATACAAATGGACATGTAAGTTGTTGCTCTGTTGATGTAAATGGACATGTTAGTTGTTGTTTTTTGATGTAAATGGACATGTTAGTTGTTGTTTTGTTAATGTAAATGGACATGTTAGTTGTTGTTTTGTTGATGTAAATTGACATGTTAGTTGTTGTTTTGTTGATGTAAATGGACAGGTAAGTTGTTGTTTTGTTGATGTAAATGGACAGGTAAGTTGTTGTTTTGTTGATGTAAATGGACATGTTAGTTGTTGATTTGTTGATGTAAATGGACATGTTAGTTGTTGTTTTTTTGATGTAAATGGACAGGTAAGTTGTTGTTTTGTTAATGTAAACGGATATGATAATTGTTGCTCTTTTAATGTAAATGGGCATGTAAGTTAAAACTTTGTTGATGTAAATGGAAGGTAAGTTGTTGCTTTGTTGATGTTAATGGTAATGTAAGTTGTTGCTTTTTTTTATGTAAATGAACAGGTAAGTTGTTGCTCTGTTGATGTAAATGGACATGCAAGTTATTGCTTTGTTGATGATAATGGTCACAAATGACATCTGTAGAAGGGATATCTCTGTAACTTCACATATTGCAACTCGGGTGAAGGTCATAAAGAACTAGCTTCTAAATTAATGTTTACTTCGTCGTTTTTAATTATTCTGAACAGGTCCATCTTATTGTATTTCATTTCTGATCAAGAATACTATTAAAAATGACTTAGACCATAAGTGTCTGGTAAAAAAAGACAAGAAACGTGATTTCGTTAATGACACCTATTTAACAGTTTTTAAATTGTATTATGGATTTGATATGCGTGTTTTTAAGTATCGCGCTTAGAATTATTTTTTTTTACATAGGAAACATACCAATTCAAAACAATGGCAGGGTTATCTCCACTAGGTGGTACTGAAGAGAGCAGTAAGTCATATTGTACAGTTAAAACAATGCTAATTAGTATAGCGTACGCATACAGTTATGGTATTCTTGTATTGTATGTCAGATTCTGCATTTATTATTTATTTTTAAAAAGCTTAAACTGCTAAGCACTTGTCTACCTCCATGACAGTTATGTTGTTGTTCCTGCAGACAAAGCTCCAAACAGTACACACATCATATTCACTTGATAAAGGAATTCGGAGTTGACAATTCACTTGGAAACACAACATTCCCACGACACTTACAAAAGAGGTAATCCTGAACAATCAAAGGTTTTATGTTCCATCGGAATTTTAACCAAATATGAAGATCTGGGTCTTCCTTTACTCTACTGGATACCAAAATGACACAAGTTTCCTTACAAACAATATTGTATTGCTTGGACTGACAAATGCTTCACAAAACCTTTTTTCCAGATAATTAACATATATTTTACCAGCAATGAAAACCGGGCTTCAGAGTTACTGTGAAACTAAATAAGAGTGATGTCAATCAAATGTGGATATTAAATAATTCAAATGGCTGATTAAGTAAATACAATCACATTCCCTCTTCTCATGCAACATTTAACTTCTGTAGTCTTTACAATAGTATTCCTCGTTCGAAACTTAAAAAGACATGTTGAAAGAAGTAGTTCAATTTTGTTTCATAAAATAGAATGGCCAAATGCGGATACAATATTATGTTTTAGAAGGACAAACCATACATTGTAAAATAAAACCACCCTAATACGAACAAAAAGTGCATCAAACTGACACCATCAAAATAGAGGGTTTTTTTTTTATTGGCATCATATTGGTTACATTTGATTTCGAGGATGAGTTTTTTAACAGACAATCGGCATTCCTATGGGAACCACTGTGTTTGTCGACTTGTTCCTTTATTCTCATGAGGCAGACTTCATACAGAAGCTTCTCAATTAAAAGAAAACTCTGGCATTATCCTTTACCTTCACTTTCCACTTATAGATGATATCCTTTCACTGAATAGTACAAAGTTTGGTGAATTTGTTGACTACATATATCCCAAAGAAACTTGAAATAAATGATACCACAGATACAGTTAAGTCTGCCTCATAGCTTGACTTGCATCTAGAAATTTACAACGAGTATTGGTTGAGAACTAAACTTTACGAGAAAGGAAACGCTTTAAATTTTCCCATTGTGAACTTTCCTTTTCTGTGTAGCAAAAATTTTCGTAGGGTCTGCATATGGTATATATTTCCCAATTGATATGATATTTCAGAGCCTGCGTTTCCTGCCACGACTTCCTTACTATCAATGAAGCTATTTCGTCAAGGGTTCTAAAGAGTAAGGGTGAAATCATGCTTTTGTAAGTTATATGGACGCAATCATGATTAGGTTGACCGTTATTGAATATCTTTGTCACGGATGACCACTTTTTGTAACCACAACCCCGTCCTCTTTTCCTTTACTGTGACTTTGCCGAATGCGACTTATCACAGGATGTTTACTTGCATGAGCAACACGACGGGTGCAACATGTGGAGCAGAAACTGCGTACCATTCCGGATCAACTGATTTCACCCCTATTTTTTTTCCAAAGGGGTTAATGTTGTTATTGCTTTCAGTGTTACTTTGTGCAATTCATTTTTCAACGTCTGTGCCGTATCTACCGGTAAAAGTCTCGTTGTCCTTTGTCATGGAAACCTTGTGTTCATTTCAAACTTTCACATTCGATCAATTCATAGGGTTAAATAATTTACATGTTAGAGTGTTATAAGGCAAGATACGTTTTTCAATCAAGTATTGTTATACGTAAACACTGGATATGACTCATCAATGTATTTTAAGAGTTGCACGACGGATGTCACTGGTAGAGCAGGTAGTGCAGACACTTCCGGAGCACCTGAGTTTGGGGTTCGTGTTGCTCAATCATTAGTTTTCTGTGCAATGTTTTGTTTTTGTTGTTTGTGTTTTCGTCGATTTTTCTTTCTGCATTGGTGTTGTCTGTTTCTATTGGACTTGTAATTTTTATTTTCCCTTGGTATATTCTCTCTTTTGGTATGAATTTACTACTCTATACCTTATGTTTATTTAATGGACAATTTACCGTTTAAAATTGAATGTTGTATTTGCTAACTACTAATCCAGATAAATAATTACGATCTAAATGTTTATAGCAACTAGAACTTGTGTTTCTCTGAAATCAGCACACCTATACGTGACATGTCTAATTAAAAAAAAGATACACATAGTATATAAAGAATCATTTCAATACAGTTTACTATACAAGTTTATAATTTGCTGGATAGGTGGATACAAAGGTTATGGCTTAGCTATGATGGTAGAAGTGTTATGTGGGGTCCTCAGCGGTGGTGCATTTGGGCTAACTCACAGACCTGCAAGGACACATGACAAACCAGCAGACTATGTATGTATCTTATTCAGCCCAGTGAACAGCACTTCTGTGTGAACATGAATTAACATTTATATGGTCATAGTTATAAATTATCTGTTTATAAAACTTTGAAATTTTTTTGGAAATACTAAGGATTTTCTACCACACGATTAGATTACCTTAGTTGTATTTGACAAAACCTATCGAAATTTTGGGTCCTCAATGATCTTCAACTTCGTACTTTACTTGACCTTTTTAACTTTTTTGATTCGAGCGTAACTGATGAGTCTTTTGTAGACAAAACGCGCGTCTGGCGTATAAATTTTTTATCCTGGTATCTATGATGAATTATTTTTTGAGTCAGTAAATATTTCAGAATATTATTAAAAGAACCCTTCTATACATAAAGGTATTCCTATCAGGTTCGAATATAATTTGTTTAATAAATTTTGAATTATATCAAGAATAAATTAATCTGTAAGCAGCTATGTTTATCGATGGTGTATTGCTTCAGATTTATCCTCCTATGTTTAGCTCACTTGGCCCTAAAGCCATGTGAGCTTATGTCATCACTTGGCACCCGTTATGAATCTTTGCAGATATGATGTGACATGGTTCGAATATAACTTGTTTAATAAATTTTAAATTATATCAAGAATAAATTAATCTGTAAGCAGCTATGTTTATCGATAGTGTATTGCTTCAGATTTATGCTATGTTTAGCTCAATCAAAATTGTCAATTGACGCCTTAAGGACCCCTTAAGGAGTTATTGCCCTTTAAGGACGATTTTACACAATTTGTTTATCATGTTTTCTAACTTTAAAAAATCTTCTTCTCTGAAACTACTGAACCAATTCCAACCAAACTTAAGCTGAATGATTCTAAGGGTATCTAGAATAAAGTTTGTGTTTTATTTTCTGTTTCGTAAAAAAACATGGCCGCCATGGCTGAAAATAGAACGTAGGGGTAAAATGCAATTTTTGGCTTATATTTCAAAAACCAAAGCATTTAGAGCTAATCTGATGCGCGGTAAATATGTTTATTAGGCCAAGCTCTGTCAGCCCTGAAATTTTCAGATGAATCTAACAACCCATTGTTGGATTGCTGCCACTTAATTGGTAATTTTAAGGAACTTTTGCAGATTTTGGTTATTATCTTGAATATTATTAATGATAAAGATGAACTGTGAAAAGCAAAAATGTTCAGCAAAGTAAGATCTACAAATAAGTTCGATGACCAAAATTGTCAATTGTCCCCTTAAGGAGTTATTGCCCTTTAAAATCAATTTTTACAATTTGTTCATTTAGTTTGCTTACTTTAAAAAATCTTCTCCTTTGAAACTGCTGAATCAATTTCAGCCAAACTTTCAGAGTATCTAGTATAAATTTTGTATTCTATTTTTTTGTACGTCAAGAAACATATAGCCACTATGGCTAAAATGAAACATAGGTGTAAAATGCATTTCTTTGATTTTGAAGAAAATATGACAGATACAAGGAACATTTCAATGGAAGTTTTAAGCCATTCATTAATATATATTGAAAAGCAAAAATAATCATTGATGAAAGATTTAAGCAAAAAATTACAGGTGAGCGATTCAGGCGCTTGAGAGCCTCTTGTTTTGTTTTTGTTGTTGCTACAATCTTGAAAATTACAATTGTTTCTGAGAAACTTGAAAATGATAATAGTTTCTGAGAAATGATACACAGTATATTGATCAAAATCTACAAATAAATCAATATGGCCAAAATCACAAATCAACTCCTTATTAGAGTTATTGTGTTTAAGTTATAATTTTAACCCATTATGTTTTACCATTATGTTTTTGGCGAGAGAAAAAAATGACGATATAGAAACTGTAAGCAGCAAAAATAATGAGATAGAGATTTACAACAGGACTCGACAATCGACTCTTTATTTGAGTAATGGTGTTACCCTTATTTAAAGAGATATTTTTTTTTTTACAATTTTTGGATGTTTACTGAAACCTGGAAATATTATGTCCCAGCTGAAACTATTTCCTTGAAAATATAATAGATAGAGAGAAACTGCAAATGAGAATTCAACTATTAGCAAAATAAGTCACATAACTGAAATTGTCAATCGACACCTTGTAGAGGGTATTGACCTAAAATGATGATTTTCACTCGTTTTTGTGATTTTGGCTATAATCTTCAAAACTATGAGATAGAGAGAAATTGATTGGCGCTAAAACGACCTGCTAGATAAAAAATACAAATCAGTCAACATATAAGCAGAGACGTATTGTATGTCTCTGACATAACTTAAATGTTCAATAAATTCCTTGTAGGAGTTATTGACTTTCAATGGCATTTTTGCGTTATTGGATTTTGTCATGAAAACTTTAAAAGATAGAGAGAAACTTTGAACAGTTAAATTTTTTAAGATAAATTTACAAATAGGTGAATATAACTGAATTTGAGGATTACTGTCCCTAAATGACAGTTTTGCACCTGTATAATAGAAGGAGAAAATGTAAACAGCAAGACAATTTCTATAAAAAAAATGGTGATGGAAATCAATTGAATCCTTATTAGGGCTATTGACTTTAAAACGACTTGACAATTGTTTTTCATCCTCCGAGTGGATAACGATTACAACTGGACGCATTCTTACTTAGCATTCTGATCTGTTGTGCCATTTATATATACTCCCTATATTACACAAACATGAGTGCATACGCTGAAAATGTCTCGCCTTATTTACTATCCATTGATTTTATGTTGATAGTCCTAAATTCAAAATAAAGCTTTACTACAAGTATCACATAAACTTAACATGATCCAAGAAAATGAGGCCAAGGTCAGATTAACCAAACAAGAAATACATGTCATGGCGGATGTATGTACACCTTACAATCATTCAATACACTAAATATAGTTGACCTATTGCTTATAGTTTCTAAGAAACAGACTTAACCAAGAAAACTAAATATTGACCAATGAACCATGAAAATGAGGTCAAGGTCAGATGAACCGTGCCAGGCAGACATGTACACCTTACAATCCTTCCATACAACAAATATAGTTGACCTATTGCATATAGTTTAAGAAAAACAGACCGAAACACATAAACTTAACACTGAGCAATGAACCGTGAAAATGAGGCCAATGTCTAATAAAACCTGCGAGACTGGCATGTACATCATTAAATATTTCCATACACCAAATGTAGTTGACCTATTGCATATAGTATTAGATAAAAAAAGACCAAAACTAAAAAACTTAATTTTGACCACTGAACCATGAAAATCAGGTCAAGGTCAGATGACATCTGCCAGATGGACATGTACACCTTACAATCATTCCATACACCAAATATAGTAGACCTATCGCATACAGTATAAGAAAAACAGACCTAAACACAAAAACTTAACTATAACCACTGAACCATGAAAATGAGGTCAAGGTCAAATGACACCTGCCAGTTGAACATGTACACCTTACAAACCTTCCATACACCAAATATACTAGACCTATTGCTTATAGTATCTGAGATATGGACTTGACCACCAAAACTTAACCTTGTTCACTGATCCATGAAATTAGGTCGAGGTCAAGTGAAAACTGTGTGACGAGCATGAGATCCTTGCAAGGTACGCACATACCAAATATAGTTAACCTATTACTCATAATAAGAGAGAAATTAACATTACAATAAATCCTTACTTTTTTTCAAGTAGTCACTGAACCATGAAAATGAGGTCAAGGTCAATAGACATGTGACAGACGGAAACTTTGTAACATAAGGCATCTATATACAAAGTATGAAGCATCCAGGTCTTCCACCTTCTAAAATGTAAAGCTTTTAAGAACTTAGCTAACAGCGCCGCCGCCGGATCACTATCCCTATGTCGAACTTTCTGCGACAAAAGTCGCAGGCTCGACAAAAACTATTCCCCAAAACTTGGATGTATATTATCAATTCTGTCATTGATTGCAGGGTCAGTGTTTTATAGCAATCGATCCAGACAATTTTGCTGAAGGATTCACGGAAAGAATGCAGTCATTAATAGATAGTTGCAGAAACCAGGAACCGGTAAATAAGTCTTATAGTATATCTTAACAGAGAAATGTCTCAGATCTTAATTTATAATTTGTTCATTCATTTTGATCCTACGTCCAGATGTCGTCTTTATTTGTTTCAGATAAATTAGTGTGTATCCTCTTTTAAGTTTGTTTCATACATATCTAAGAATATATGTTCCATTGTGTCTTTGGATGTGTTTAAAATAAATTTCATAGGATATTGGCCATTACTCTGGTGGTTTGGGTTTAGGATAGATTGGTGAAAACTGTTCATTCCTTATATTTGGTAGGCGATTTTACCAACCGTACGTATTTCCATTGCCTTAAATGCACAGCATATCTGTTTACAAATCTCTCAAAGTCCTATCTTTTGTGAGGAAACGAAATATCTTCAGAATATATAAATAAACTGTTGCCACAGATATAGCTCGTCGGTATGCGATTTTGATTGTGAAATACAAATGTTGAAATTTAAATTTTGGGCATTTTTTTATAATGTAAAATTTGAGAAAACAGTCAATGCACCATCACTGAGGTGCAGAGGCGAATAGTCTCAATGGAAATGAAATATGCCCATGCGTAAACAACTCTATGCCAGATATCATCGACTTACCTTTAATGGTCCATCTTAAGCTGACATCATCACAAACTTGCAAAAGTTTTAATGACCGAGGGGATGGGCTACATAATCTCAATGGAAATGACATGTGCCAATACTAATACAACTGCATACCAAATATCATTCAAATTGACTTACCATTGCGGTGGTTCCTCTGAAACTCGCCAAACACAAACTTTAACATTTTAAGTTTCAAGTTCAATAGACCATGAATGAGGGCTAGGGCCAAATAGTCTCTATGGAAATGAGAAGTGTGAATGCAAATACAACTACATACCAATTATCATTGACTTACCATTAGTGGTTCCCCTTAAACTGACCTTTTGACTTGGAATTAGTTGTCAGTAACTGTGAGTACTCTTAGATCTTTACTATGTGTCTATAGTCTTTTGTTAGTTGGGTTTTTATGTGTTTTGTGTGTGACTGTCTTAAGTCAGGCGCCTGTAATTCAGTGGTTGTCATTGGTTCATGTCTGACATGTTTGTTGTGTTTATTACACAAATCAGTCAGTTGGTTTTCTTGTTTAAATTGATTTACATTTTGTTTACTAAACGATATTTGCTCATTGTTGAAGGCCTACGATTACCTACAGTTGCTTAAATATAAGTTCATTTAGTCTTTGGTGGAGAGTTGTCTTATCGGCAATCATACCATATCTTCTTACTTTTATGCTAATCATAAACCTTAACAAATTTATGAACCGTGGCCGTAAACAGCACACCTGGCGTTTGCAACTTCTTCGATGCGAGACAAAAACCATCTATAAGAAGAAAATATATAATGCACAATATGTAATTATAGGCAGACCAAGATCCTGTTTTGGTAGCTGGTGACCCAGAACGACACCATCAAGCTTTGTGTGACAAGTTAGGAGGCATACCGTATCACCCAGCTCAAATTAGAATAAGTGTAAGTAGATCGTTAAAACATCCAAGATAATAAACCCTTCAGTTTAACATATTCAGATTTGAATCATTCTAGAACAGAGAACAAAAACAGGGAATGTGTCAAAGAGACAACAACCCGACCAAAGAGCAGAAAACAGCCCAATGCCACCAATGGGTCTTCAACGAAACGAGAAAATTTCTTGCATTGTTTAATCATCAAATCTTACGTACAGGACTATGCAAGTGTAGCATGAGATGATTTCTATGCCTATCAAGAGTTTTTCGTATCTTACCAATAGTAGAATCAGCATTATTGTAATCGTACCACCCAAAACAAATTTCAAACTTTTGAAAATTAATTGACCAAACAATTTTATATTGAACTGATAATTTGGCAAATAGAATAAATTTTGATCGACCAGTATCTTCCCAAGTGTTTTTCGTAATGGGTTTTATTGCATTTCCAAACAAGAGAAGATTTGGTGTTAACTGGTTCAGGTGAACTGAAATAAGATTCTTTAGTTACATGGTAACATCTTGTGAAAAACGTCAATTGAGCAATACAGACTTACAGTATCATCTTCTTCCAATCAGACATAAACAAAAAGGTAAAGGACAACTTTATACTGTGGAGGTAAACAGATATTGGTAAAAACCAATAACATACATCCCTTACAGAATTATTTTGGGTTTGTTTCTCCATATATTTGTTAAATATGCAAATATATGATGCTTCTCTTTATTTACTCTAATAGTGCATCAGTTGTACTGTATGATGTTCTGTCAGCAAAAAAGGAAAAAATAATATTTCAACTTTAAAAGCAAAATTATTCCCTTATTTTTCCTCTATTTCATAATAATCTGAGTTAATTGTATCAATAAAAAATACTCAATAAGACAGATCACCAATAGACCCCCACAACAGGAAATGAAAAAAGTAATAAAGAACGAATACTTGCATTATGTACATAATCATTGTAAAAAAGTACAAACTTTTGGAATATAAGTTTTCTGTTTTTCATATTCCAGAATGATCTTGCAAAGAGATACAAAGTGACACCAATGAAAACATTGTGATGACGGACTTTGTTTATTGTTATACTGCACAAAACTAATGATTATTGTTGGTCCTGACAGTGATACAGACAATGAGTATTGAAGGCTATTTGGACTCTGTTTTTTAAAAATTGCAGAGCACTTGGACCTGATGAGGATGAAAAATATTTCAACTCTTGACTTACAGTAACATTTATTCCAGTGTAGTTTTGGGAGTCTTTATTAATATTCTCTTCCATCTTACTGCTGTTTCAAAAATGTTAGACCCTTTTGTGCTATCATCCAGTATCAGACCAGGCAGATATTGTTATTTAGGACAGTCACCATCTTATATAATACCAAAAATACACATGTATTGGCCCTTTTGTTTGTTTCATTAAAATATGTATTAATAAAATGCTTCGCTGAGCGCAGCCTGATACGACCGCAGAGGTCGAACCCTGAACAGTTTGGGCAAATTTGGACACAATATTCAAGCTTGATACTGTCTGAATTTGGAGTGTGATCAAATTTTTGACATAACATAGGTTTCTGACACAAAATAAATGTGGTCAAAGATCTTACAAATCTATTGCGCAATACTGTGCAATTGAAGATTTCTTCTTGAAACTAATCAAAAATTCGAAATTTGAAAAATTTTGAAAAAAAAAAATATGAATCCCTTAAAAAAATTGGAAAAAAAAATCCACCCCCCCCCCCAACTTTTTGAAACCCCCCTTGGAGCAATAACCCCAAAACTCAATCCCAGCCTTTCCTTTGTAGTATGGAACATTGTAGTACAATTTCAGAGAGATCCATACACTTAAACACAATTTATTGTCTGGAAACTAGAAAAATGCTTGTTTTTGGCCCCTAATTCCTACATGTTTGGGGCAATTAACCCCAAACTCAATCACAGCCTTCCCATTGTTATATGGAACCTTGTGGTACAATGTCAGAGAGATCCATACACTTACACACAAGTTATTGTCTAGAAACTAGGAAAATGCTTGTTTTTGGCCCCTTAATTCCTAAATTGTAGGCCCCATAACCCCTAAAATGAATCCCAACCTTCTATTTGTGGTATTAAACATTGTGGTACAATTTCATAGCAATCGAAATACTTATACAAAAGTTATTATCCTGAAACTAGAAAAATGCTTCTTTTGGGCCCCTTTTGGGCCCCTAATTCCTAAACGGTTGGGACCATCATCCCCAAAATCAATCCCAACCTTCCTTTTGTGGTATTGAACCTTCTTTAAAAATTTCATAAAGATCCATTCACTTAAACTAAAGTTATTGTCTGGAAACCAATGTGTCTTCGGACGATGACGCAGACGACGACATCATACCATTATACGATCCCAAAATTTTTTTTGCGGCGTATAAAAAGGTATTACAACCAATTTTCTGTCTTATTGAGTTTTATAGTGTATAAATGCATGATTCCACACTAAAATGACAAAACTATCATATAATCATAATAAAATGCTTCGCTGGGCGCAGCTTGATACGACCGCAGAGGTCGAACCCTGAACAGTTGGGGCAAGTATGGACACAACATTCAAGCTTGATACAGCTCTGAATTTGGATTGTGATTAAATATTTGACACAGCATAGGTTTCTGACACAGAAAGAATGTGGTCTAAGAACTTCAATTTTTTTAATTTACCTATTATGGTCCAATGTCCAAAATCAAAATACATGGTTAGATTCAGCATATCAAAGAACCCCATATATTCAATTTTTGTTGAAATCAAACAAAGTTTAATTTTGGACCCCAACTTGGACAAACTTGAAAACTGGTCCCATAATCAAAAATCTAAACACATGTTTAGATTCAGCATATCAAAGTACCCCAAGAATTCAATTTTTGTTAAAATCAAACTAAGTTTAATTTTGGACCCTTTGGACCTTAATGTAGACCAATTTAAAAAACGGGACCCAAAATTAAAAATCTAAAAACACGGTTAGATTTGGCATATCAAAGAACCCCAATAATTCAATTTTTGATGAAATCAAACAAAGTTTAATTTTGGACCCTTTTGACCTCAATATGAACCAATTTGATAGCAGGCCCACAAAATAAAAAATCTAAATACATGGTAAGATTCAGCATATCAAAGAACCCCATATATTCAATTTTTGTTGAAATCAAACAAAGTTTAATTTTGGACCCCAATTTGGACCAACTTGAAAACTGGGCCAAAAATCTAAAATCTAAATACATGTTTAGATTCAGCATATCAAAGAACCCCATATATTCAATTTTTGTTGAAATCAAACAAAGTTTAATTTTATACCCCAACTTGGACCAACTTGAAAACTGGGCCCATAATCAAAAATCTAAACACATGTTTAGATTCAGCATATCAAAGAACCCTAAGAATTCAATTTTTGTTAAAATCAAACTAAGTTTAATTTTGGACCCTTTGGACCTTAATGTAGACCAATTTAAAAACGGGACCCAAAATTAAAAATCTAAATACACGGTTAGATTTGGCATATCAAAGAACCCCAATAATTCAATTTTTGATGAAATCAAACAAAGTTTAATTTTGGACCCTTTTGACCTCAATATGAACCAATTTGATAGCGGGTCCACAAATAAAAAATCTAAATACATGCTTAGATTCAGCATATCAAAGAACCCCAAGAATTCAATTTTTGATGAAATCAAACAAAGTTTAATTTTGGACCCTTTTGACCTCAATGTGGACAAAGTTGATAACGGGGCCCAAAAATCAAAAATCTAAATACATGGTTAGATTCAGCATATCAAAGAACCCCATATATTCAATTTTTAATGAAATCAAACAAAGTTTAATTTTGGACCCCGATTTGGACCAACTTGAAAACTGGGCCCATAATCAAAAATCTAAATATATGTTTAGATTCAGCATATCAAAGTACCCTAAAAATTCAATTTTTGTTAAAATCAAACTAAGTTTAATTTTGGACCCTTTTGACCTTAATGTAGACCAATTTGAAAACGGAACCAAAAATTAAGAATCTAAATACACGGTTAGATTCGGCATATCAAAGAACCCCAATAATTCAATTTTTGATGAAATCAAACAAAGTTAAATTTTGGACCCTTTGGACCTCAATGTGGACCAATTTAAAAACGGGGCCCAAAATCCAAAAACTTAATACACGGTTAGATTCAGCATATTAAAGAACCCCAAGAATTCAAGAATAAAACCCCATTGAAATTGATCAAGAAATAAGCAATTTATACGAAGTATCTTCTTTTGCACAATACTGTGCAATTGAATATTTCTTGCTATTGTGCAATACTGTACAATTGACAATTTCTTGCTATTGCGCAATATTGTGCTATTGGATATTTCTTGCTATTGCGCAATACTGTGCAATTGAAGATTTCTTGCTATTGCGCAATACTGTGCAATTGAAGATTTCTTGCAATTGTGCAATACTGTGCAATTGAAAATTTCTTGCTATTGCACAATACTTATTATATAATAATTTACACATCCTGTTTGGTGTGTATCTCCTACCATATCATTATTATTTGCTTTTAAATATTAATCAGAAATAACCAACTTAAAATGGAAAATTTTAAAAGAAAAAAAAAAGGAAAAAAAGAAAAAAAAAGAAAAAAAAAAATCCCCCCCCCCAAATTTTTTGAACCCCCTTATGATTCATCACCCCCAAACTCAATCCCAGCCTTCCCTTTGTGGTATGGTACCTTGCAGTACAATTTCAGAGAGATCCATACACTTGAACACAAGTTATTGTCTGGAAACTAGAAAAATGCTTATTTTTGGCCCCTTTTTGGCCCCTTTTTCCTAAACGTTTTGGGCAATTACCCCCAAACTCAATTCTAGCTTTCCCTTTGTGATATGGAACCTTGTAGTACAATTTCAGAAATATCCAAACACTTACACACAAGTTATTGTCATGAAACTAGAAAAATGCTTGTTTTTTGCCCCTTTTTTGGCCCCTAATTCCTAAAACTTTGAGGCAATTACCCCCAAAATCAATCCCAGCCTTCCCTTTGTGATATGGAACCTTGTGGTACAATGTCAGAGAGATCCATACACTTACACACAAGTTATTGTCTGGAAGTTACAAAAATGCTTATTTTTGGCCCCTTTTTGGCCCCTAATTCCTTAACTGTTGGTACCATAACCCCCAAAATCAATCCCCACCTTCCTTTCGTGGTATTGAACCTTATGGTAAAATTTCATGGAGATCCATTCACTTAAACTAAAGTTAGAGTGCGAAAACCAATGTGTCTTCGGACGACGCCGGACGACGCCAGACGACGACGACGACGACGACGCCAACGTCATACCAATATACGACCAAAAAATTTTCAATTTTTGCGGTCGTATAAAAACAGCATGCATCCACGGGACACAGATGCAGCAAAGAAGATTTAACATGTTAAAAGGTGATTATATTCCTTAATGCACATACTCAGGTATTGTTCTACAGCTGTGTAAAGTTTAATCAATATCTGTCCATTGTTTAGAAGGAGTTAAGGTTACAAGGAACATGGAAAGGCAGATAGATGGACAGATTCCTATATAACCCACTGCAAACTTTCAACTTTGGGGGTACAACAAAACTTTGTTTGCTTTGGGGATATTATAAATAATAAATCAGTATATAATTTGTTCCTACTAATGTTTGTATAGCATCAAGTGGCAAATATAACTTGCATGAAGGACGTACGGTGACCTATAGTTATTTATTTCTGTGTCATTTGGTCTCTTGTGGAGAGTTTGTCTCATTTGCAATCGTACCACATCTTCTTATTTTTATATATATTGTGGCATATGACCATAGTGGTCTCATTGTGAATAAAATGCTCCGCAGGGCGCAGCTTGATACGACCGCAGAGGTCGAACCCTGAACAGTTGGGGCAAGTATGGACACAACATTCAAGCTTGATACAGCTCTGAATTTGGATTGTGATTAAATATTTGACACAGCATAGGTTTCTGACACAGAATGAATGTGGTCTAAGAACTTAAAAATTTTAAATTGGACATTCACCTATTATGGTCCAATATCCAAAATCTAAATACATGGTTAGATTCAGCATATCAAAGAACCCCAAGAATTCAATTTTTGATGAAATCAAACAAAAGTTTAATTTTGGACCCTTTTGATCTCAATGTGGACAAAAATGATAACAGGGCCCAAAAATCAAAAATCTAAATACATGGTTAGATTCAGCATATCAAAGAACCCCATATATTCAATTTTTGTTGAAATCAAACAAAGTTTAATTTTGGACCCCGATTTGGACCAACTTGAAAACTGGGCCCATAATCAAAAATCTAAATACATGTTTAGATTCAGCATATCAAAGAACCCTAAAAATTCAATTTTTGTTAAAATCAAACTAAGTTTAATTTTGGACCCTTTGGACCTTTATGTAGACCAATTTGAAAACGGAACCAAAAATTAAGAATCTAAATACACGGTTAGATTCAGCATATCAAAGAACCCCAATAATTCAATTTTTGATGAAATCAAACAAAGTTAAATTTTGGACCCTTTGGACTTCAATGTGGACCAATTTAAAAACGGGGCCCAAAATCCAAAAACTTAATACACGGTTAGATTCAGCATATTACAGAACCCCATATATTCAATTTTTGTTGAAATCAAACAAAGTTTAATTTTGGACCCTGATTTGAACCAACTTGAAAACTGGGCCCATAATCAAAAATCTAAATACATGGTTAGATTCAGCATATCAAAGAACCCTATATATTCAATTTTTGTTGAAATCAAACAAAGTTTAATTTTGGACCCCGATTTGGACCAACTTGAAAACTGGGCCCATAATCAAAAATCTAAATACATGGTTAGATTCAGCATATCAAAGAACCCCATATATTCAATTTTTGATGAAATCAAACAAAGTTTAATTTTGGACCCTTTTGATCTCAATGTGGACAAAGTTGATAACGGGGCCCAACAATCAAAAATCTAAATACATGGTTAGATTCAGCATATCAAAGAACCCCATATATTCAATTTTTGTTGAAATCAAACAAAGTTTAATTTTGGACCCTGATTTGGACCAACTTGAAAACTGGGCCCATAATCAAAAATCTAAATACATGGTTAGATTCAGCATATCAAAGAACCCCATATATTCAATTTTTGTTGAATTCAAACAAAGTTTAATTTTAGACCCCGATTTGGACCAACTTGAAAACTGGGCCCATAATCAAAAATCTAAATACATGGTTAGATTCAGCATATCAAAGAACCCCATATATTCAATTTTTGTTGAAATCAAACTAAGTTTAATTTTGTACCCTTTCGACCTTTATGTAGACCAATTTGAAAACAGAACCAAAAATTAAGAATCTAAATACACGGTTAGATTCGGCATATCAAAGAACCCCAATAATTCAATTTTTGATGAAATCAAACAAAGTTCAATTTTGGACCCTTTGGACCTCAATGTGGACCAATTTAAAAACGGGGCCCAAAATCCAAAAACTTAATACACGGTTAGATTCAGCATATTAAAGAACCCCAAGAATTCAAGAATAAAACCCCATTGAAATTGATCAAGAAATAAGCAATTTATACGAAGTACCTTCTTTTGCACAATACTGTGCAATTGATTATTTCTTGCTATTGCGCAATACTGTACAATTGACAATTTCTTGCTATTGCGCAATATTGTGCTATTGGATATTTCTTGCTATTGCGCAATACTGTGCAATTGAAGATTTCTTGCTATTGCGCAATACTGTGCAATTGAAGATTTCTTGCTATTGTGCAATACTGTGCAATTGAAAATTTCTTGCTATTGCACAATACTTATTATATAATAATTTACACATCCTGTTTGGTGTGTATCTCCTACCATATCATTATTATTTGCTTTTAAATATAAATCAGAAATAACCAACTTAAAATGGAAAATTTTAAAAGAAAAAAAAAGGAAAAAAAGAAAAAAAAAAGAAAAAAAAAAATCCCCCCCCAAATTTTTTGAACCCCCTTATGATTCATCACCCCAAACTCAATCTCAGCCTTCCCTTTGTGGTATGGTACCTTGCAGTACAATTTCAGAGAGATCCATACACTTGAACACAAGTTATTGTCTGGAAACTAGAAAAATGCTTATTTTTGGCCCCTTTTTGGCCCCCAATTCCTAAACGTTTCGGGCAATTACCCCCAAACTCAATTCCAGCTTTCCCTTTGTAATATGGAACCTTGTAGTACAATTTCAGAAATATCCAAACACTTACACACAAGTTATTGTCATGAAACTAGAAAAATGCTTGTTTTTTGCCCCTTTAATGGCCCCTAATTCCTAACATTTTGAGGCAATTACCCCCAAAATCAATTACAGCCTTCCCTTTGTGATATGGAACCTTGTGGTACAATGTCAGAGAGATCCATACACTTACACACAAGTTATTGTCTGGAAGTTACAAAAATGCTTATTGTTGGCCCCTTTTTGGCCCCTTATTCCTTAACTGTTGGTACCATAACCCCCAAAATCAATCCCAACCTTCCTTTTATGGTATTGAACCTTATGGTAAAATTTCATGGAGATCCATTCACTTAAACTAAAGTTAGAGTGCGAAAACCAATGTGTCTTCGGACGACGCCAGACGACGACGACGACGACGACGACGACGCCAACGTCATACCAATATACGACCAAAAAATTTTCAATTTTTGCGGTCGTATAAAAACCTCAATACAAATACTTCGTAACTTCTCTGAAAGTTGGGATAAGATACATGTATGATGGTATTTGAAAATTGCTTTGGTAAACAACTTCACTTTTTTTTAGCATCAATGAAATAAGATTTACTTTTAATTTGTTCTTGACTCACCTATTTTCCCATTGAGTCCCAAATAACTACATTATTAAATCATGTTGATGACATACAAACAGTAATTATAAATCTCAATGTAAAGAGTTATCTAAATGTGCAACATTAGTGAAAAAATAGTCATTTCAATTTTTATTTTGTTAATTTAAATTAAGATCATAGACATATCTTAAAAATTTTAACACTGTGATCAGCACTACAACTGGCTAACTGTATTGTCTTATTGTCCAACACAGGCTTGAATCGGAGTTTCTTTACTGTCAAATGGTGAGATAATCTGAGGAAGTTAAGGTTAACACTGTAATGGAACGACATGTATAAAACTCATGTAAAATATTTCATATGAAGATTCTTATTTTCACAGTTGTTGCAGTTTATGTTGATTTTTTAAATCATATTTCAGACTTTTACATAATAGATGAATTGAATGCAGTAGAACCTTTATAAAGACAAGGTGGTAGAGACTTAATATAACTAACAAAGCCCAGTCCAAATAGTAAACTGATTCATGATCATGTCTACTTTTGAAGACCATATGATGACTGACCTCTTGATGTCTTTATTGTTTCTTTGAGTCATTTGGGTTGCTGTCTCATTGAGATATACCTACTCATTTAATTTATACTGTCATAATGTTTATATTCAATGTTAAAAACATGTTTTATATCACATTACATATGCATTGCTAATTTTAAAAAGTATTTATTTTCTATAAACTAGATTGATTGTTGCTTGTTTAATCTCCAGTGGCAAGTGTTTCATGCATACTCATGATGATAACAAATTAACAATAAACAAGTATTCTGAGAGTATTGCATGGCAATACATAGTCCCCTACCTGTTAAAAATTCATTGTACTGGAACAAAATGCTAACTTGATCTATAACTTGTCATGGTGTAAACTATATAACAAATGTCAAGTCAATATCTTCAAGCATGACGAAAAAAAGTGAGGAATACTGATTTGTCGGACTGACGGATGGACAGACAGCCAGATGGAGTGCAAACCAAAAGCCCCCTTGACTTTGTCGGTAGGGGACTAATAAAATAGGTAGGTTATGCAGGTCAAATCCAATGGGGGTTGGATTGTTGGACTACTACTTGAAAATGAAAGTATGTTGGATAGGGGCAGTATCAGTACCACCTTCGCCTCAGGGTGTTAAAATCTAAAAATAATAACGTAGATAACTAGTAATAACAAATGATTCATTTTCCAAATTGATGGCCATAAGCAATCTGACAAAATTTACTCCAAAGGTCTGCTTTGTGTGCAATATATCTGGTATGAGAATTTCATTTAACTCTTTTAAAATGGTAATTTTAGAACCATGCTAAGCAAAATAGTCTTTAAGACTATGCTATATATTATTCAGCATAATTTTAAATTGACCTTATCTTTCATCCTAAAAGAGTCAATTACATCAAAAATTGTACAAAATGCAATTACTGCTGTGTTAGTTTTGTCCAATCAAAGGATACTGTTGATCTAGTTTTGTTATCAGTGTCCAATCGTCTTGATTATCTGATGGTTTCCATGTATACAGAAGTATTTCTCCACTTTCTACTCCAACAGCTACCACATATCTACAAAAAATTCAGAAGTAAATTCAAGATTAGCATTTACGACTTGATTAAATTCTTGTTGTCACTGAATTAAAGCCTAGCATATATCAAATTAATCATAATTGGGTTGACACACAAGTTCTTATCTATTTCAAGATAATACACATCGGTCAACAGACAAGCATAAATTTACAAATTGCTACATATAGATATAAATGTTTTACTTTTTTTACATTTTAAAACTATAGCAGCATAATCTTATCTATCAAGTTAAGACTTCTATAGGATAAAATGTCGGGAATAAAATATTTGTTTCTTATGTCAAATTTTAATTAAATTTTTAACATCTGTTCCAAGCAAGAACAAACAAGTTAGTTTAAACTACTGCAAGCATTCATATTCAGTTTTATGAATTATTTTGAAATTAAACATTTATTACAAAGCCTACAATAAAGAAATTATTTAGGAAGGTACTTACTTTCAAAACAAAAAAACAAAAAACTTTTATGTGTGTGGTGATTTCATTTATGTTTCTGCTGACCTCTGTTATTCCAAAAAGCAAAGACTTGTTTACAATAAAAGATGATTTATCAAAATGACTGGATAATGGATCTGCCATTATTTAAGTGCAGATACACTTAAAACTTGCATTAAAATTAAAAGTACTTTCCAAAGAACCTGGGACACACAGTACTCAGGTTTTGTTTTTTTTTTATTTGAGACATTAGTATTTTTTTGGCAGATGTACAGTTGTTATGTAGGACAAGAAAAATAATTGACATACTTATCTGTATAACAAGCTATAGGTGGTAGATGTATAGCTGTTGCTGCATCACCAACATCTATTACCGACTGTGGTTTTAAGGGTATATCTCCTGATGACAGGTCTGGTCTTAACCATACCATTACCTATAAACAAAGCCTCATTTATATTGGCTGACAAACTTTTATCTATTGGTAATATGACAAAAAGATTTTAATTTCAAGAACTTTGTACTTAGGGTGAGAAGTAGTAAGACTGCACAAATATTTTGTTACAATGTCATTTCAATGACTTTAAATTGCTGACTTATAAATCCAACATTTACATAACATCTATTACAACCTAAAATAACTCTCCATATAAAAAAAAAAAATATTTTTCTGAAAATGTACCTCTTCTGTATATCATACTGTCTGCAGCTATATCTATAGAAATGGAATTATTTTAAGTGCAAGAGGCAGAATTTTTTGAGAAAAAAAAATATATTGACATTGTTTAACTTGATCCATACTTTCCAATAACAATAATATATTAAATAAAAATTAAATGCTTTAAATGGATACATAATTCACAACACAGTAAACATGGTCTTTTTCTTCTCTACTAATAATTAATATCTGTATTTCTTCAATGCTATCATTTTCTTGTCGGCAGACAAAAATTACAACATTGATTGTTGTGAACTATGTAGTTATTTCAAGCATCACTCCAGTCTTTACTGAGGCTTTGTAAACAATATTTATCCACTTCTCATGGTTAAACTTTCAAATTTTAAAATGTGTGGTTTACTGAGCCACTAATAATTTAATTATCAAGAGTTGATAAACGTTGAAGTCAATGAGTAAAGTGGTAGAATCTGTTAAACTAATGATTTAAGGGAAAATGCTGGATGCAATGTTAGGAAAATTATATGGTATAGAAAATTAAATAAACATGTGGAGTATCAAAATTGATCAAACTGGCATTAACTGGCTAAGATGCATAGAGTAGTAGAGTAATGTATGTTATCAAACCTTTTTATCTCTAGATGCTGTTAAGAAATATTTATCATCATGTGACCAAGCACATGCCCATATAATCCTTGTATGGGCTGTATTTGACTTATTTGTCCCAGATATTCTTGTAAACAGTGGCTCTGAAATTAAAATCAAAGAACTGCATTTTAACATTATTCATAATTGTTTTTGTTTTATGATACATTTCCTTATTTTTATATCCATCCGCGCTGGGACTTAAAGTCATCACTTAATGACATCTTCGATTTTAGAAAATTTACTGTTTCAAGTAACATAAATTTTTAAATCAGTTCATATTTAGCGAGAGGAAGAAAAGCTTGGGAATTTTGGACGGGAGGAAAATATGTTTGGTTTATTTGACATCAACCTTCTCTTCTTACCATAGAATATCAAAATATGAAACTATAGATCAGATTAAGTGAAAATTTCTATTATTAAGTAGCCAGATTCTGAAGTGATGGTAACTGGTCCTCATACTCGAAAAATTTCACACAAAAATCGCCACAATAACACCCAGCTTTACCTTAGATATAAGAGGATTTGAAGTCTGAGTCAATGGTGCTAGAACTGACTTTTGGTAACCCGTCATATGTTAAAATAAAAGAAGAATGTGTCTGAGGACACAAATGTTTGCTTTTCAAACGAAAATGAGGCAGACAGAAAGATGGAAAGACTGATCGTCAAGGGTAACACTTAATGCCCCCTTCGCCTTGTGGCTGGGGTATAAATATATGTGCAAAGGAAATTCCTGTTACAAAATATTTAAGAATAAAATGCTCCACTGGGCGCAGCTTGATACAACCGCAGAGGTTGAACCCTGAACAGTTGGGGCAAGTATGGACACAACATTCAAGCTTGATACAGCACTGAATTTGGATTGTGATTAAATATTTGACACAGCATAGGTTTCTGACTCAAAATGAATGTAGTCTAAGAACTTAAAAATTTTTAATTTACCTATTCAAACCATATCATTATTTTATGCTTTTATATATAAATCAGAAATACCCAATTTAAAATGGAAAATTTAATGGAAAAAAAAAGGAAAAAAAGGAAAAAAAAATCCCTCCCCCAAATTTTTTGAACCCCCTTATGATTCATCACCCCCAAACTCAATCCCAGCCTTCCCTTTGTGGTATGGTACCTTGCAGTACAATTTCAGAGAGATCCATACACTTCAACACAAGTTATTGTCTGGAAACTAGAAAAATGCTTGTTTTTTGCCCCTTTTTTGCCCCAAATTCCTAAACGTTTAGTGCAATTACCCCCAAACTCAAATCCAGCTTTCCCTTTGTGATATGGAACCTCGTAGTACAATTTCATAAAGATCCATACACTTACAAACAAGTTATTGCCTTGAAACTAGAAAAATGCTTGTTTTTTGCCCCTTTTTTGCCCCTTATTCCTAAAATTTGGAGGCAATTACCCCCCAAATCAATCCCAGCCTTTCAATTGTGGTATGGTACCTTGCAGTACAATATCAGAGAGATCCATACACTTGAACACAAGTTATTGTCT